TTCCCTTGGGTTCCTGAGTTTCTTGTTTCCATGACTTACACCGCATTGCTAGGTCTTGTCCCCCTCCCCCTCTCTTTAGACTGTTCCATCCCTTGGGTCCAATTTCTACGTTCATGTCCTGCATACACATAAACACACATACATGCATGCACACATGACACTTGCATGAACATGCCCACACAACACACATGAGCACATACACATGCACACACATGTCTACATTCTGCATGAGGAATTTGCCTTTGGGTCTCTTGTTCAGTACCATGATCTCTAGTGAATGTCATAATTTAATTTTTATAGCTTTTCCTGGGGCTGGAAAGGTGGCTCAGTGGTTAAGCGCACTGGCTGCTGGGGCTGGAGAGATGGCTCAGCAGTTAAGAACACTGGTTGTTCTTGAAGAAGACCCTGGTTTGAATCCCTGCACCCACATGGCAGCTACCAACTGTCCGTAACTCCAGTTCCAGGGGATCGGACGCCCTCTTCTGACCTCCTCGGGCATTCATTGCACGACATGGGGGCACTGACATACATGCAGGCAAGATATGCATATACATAAAAAAAAAAACATAAAATTTTTTTTCCTGGTGTTCGGAGAGAGTGTCTCCCTGTGTAGCCCAGGCTGAGCTCCCACTCTTCTGTCTGCCTCAGTCTCCCCAGGGTTGGGATACAGTCATGACACCATGCCTGGCTGCTCAGTGTCAGCCACACCCTGCCCTCAGCCTCCTAAGTAGTGGGGGTCACAGGCAGGTGCCCCCATGCCGACCTTTTCCCCAAAGTTTAGAAACCCCGGCTGTGGGCTTGATGCACCTTCCGCAAGGGCGCCATGGCTCTTTCCTTCACCGGAATCTGCCCAGAGTGCTTTGTTTTTACTTTCCTTAGGTAGTTCATCAGTAGTTGCTCAGCCTTCTGCCAGAGAGGCTGTCTGCACCCCTCCATGCAGCGGGCCTGGTCCACACACCCTGGCCCACCAGGTCTCCTAGGTCATTCTCTCGTCTCTGGTTGGCCTAGTACCAGCTGTGCAGTGTGCTGTTGGTCTGTGGCAGATACAGCATGAGGCTTGGGAAGTTTCCAGATGAGTGAGCCTCCCGGGCAGATGATGTGGGGAAGGGCGGGTTTGTTCGGGATCCTCTAGGACAGAGTCAGCCACAAGGATCTGACATAGTCCAGGGACTTGATCCAGCAGGCTAGTGAGAGGACAGGCCTGGGTCTCAGATCACAGCGGTAGTGGAGGCCGGAGCCCAGTCCCTTGGGCACTCTAGGTGACTGTAGGGCCGAGTTTTGCGGTGGTTCTGGCCCAGTGCAGAGGCAGCGGAATTTATCTACTTTCCCACCCTCTGCTGAGGGCAACCCCAGATGTTGGCCAGGTGGAAGGAACCACCAAGCCGAGGGGCTGAGGGCGTTGTTCATTTCATTAGCCCGTTTCTTTTTCTTCCCTTTTTTTTGGGAAGGGGGTCTTTTTGAGGCAGGGTCTCCCTGTAGCCCCAGCTGGCCTGGAACTCGCTATGTAGACCAGGTGGACCTGGAACTCAGAGAGATCCACCTGCCTCTGCCTCCCAAGTGCTGGGATTAATGGTGTGCGCCACCACTCCTGGCTCATTAGCCCATTTCTTAAAAAAATTTTTTTAAATTTATCTAAATGTATATGAGTGTATTGCCTACATGTATGTAAATGCACCCATGTCCTGCAGTGCTCTTGGAGGACAGAACAGGGAGTTGGATCCCCTAGAACTGGAGTTAGGGTTAGTAGCCATCATATGGTTTCTGGGATTCGAACCCAGCTCTTCTGCATGAACAGCCAGTGCTCTTAACCGCTGAGCCATCTCTCCAGCCCCTTTGTTTTTTCAGTCACGGTCTCAGTACCTAGCCCTGGCTGGCCTGGAACTCACAGAGATTTGCCTGCCTCTGCCTCCCCAGTGCTGGGGAAGACTGGGACCAGTCAGCCCGTCATTAGCCCGTTTATCATCTGGCAGTTTTGTTCCCTTTGTGTTTGGTTTTTGCAGTTCTTTGTAAATTCTCCCCGTCTGAAGCGTAGCTGGCAAAGGTTTTCTCCCATTCTGTGGACTGTCTGAGATGCAGGACATCGAACTCCTGAACTCTCCTGTGGAGAGGTCAGAGGACAACTTGGAGTCTTTTCTTTCCACCACATGGTCTTGAGAATCGAACTCAGGTCCTCAGGCTTGGCAGCCTTTAGCTGCGCTGCCATCCCGCAGGCTCCAAGAGCTGTGTTTGGTCTGGAAAAGCCCCTAGATTGCAGAAGATGGAACTTTTCCTTTAAAGCCACAATTCCTGAGCATCCCAGGCCTATAGGCCTGGCGCATCACATCCAGGGCATTAGCTACCAAAACCCACTTGATAACAAAAGACTTTGGGTAAAAGTGCATCCCAAGTACCATCAGAGACACACAGGGATCATGACGCCCAGCGGGGTGGGCCATGGGGAACACCTGTCCTGCCACACCTCTCTCTCTCTTTCTCTGTCTCTGCAGGGCACCAGGACGGGGGGCCTCCCACGCACACAGGCCCATCCGCAGGAGATGGTGAGTGGGCTCGAGTGGGCCCCACGTGCATAGCTGGAGTGTGGCCAAGCAGCCTCTCCTGCTCTGTGGTCCATTTGGATGCCTCCTGGGCATAGCCGATCCGCTGCCAGTTCAGCCCACGGCCAAACACGGCAGCGCTTGACTGGGTAACCGAGGGCCAGTCAGCGGGGTGAGCGGGAGGCTGTTGCAGACCCAGCGTGGAGCCGAGGTGCCTGGTCCTTTCAGTCGGCTGAGCTCTGTAGCGCATGCCCACCACATCCCATCATGACAGGTCAGGTCAGCACCCAGCCTGCACAGGTGACCTCGGAGCGCACCTGTGAGCTCCCGGAGCCCTGGGTCCAGCCGTAGCGCGATGGGAAGGAAGGACACACGGAAAGGAAACTAACCCTTCCCATTCCTGGCGATGTCAGGAGCCTTCAGGCATGGCTGTATCCAGGTGCGCGAGGACTGTGCCCCTGGATGACGTCTCCCCAGCACTAATCCACCCAGGTCTCTCGAGGTTAGGGTTACCAGGTTAGCCACCCACACAATAAGGAGCTGGGCTGCCCCGTGCTTCTGTAGCGGGAAGTCCCAAATTGAGTCACCTGTGGTTGCAAAGGGCAAGGGGCTGTAGGACCCATCTCTGGGATCAGCGTGACCTCATCCTCCAGGGAGGGGTGTGTTCTGTGCAGGTCCGTCCCCCCCCCTTCCTGTTTTCAAACATCAGCTAGGAGAGTTCGGCTCAGTGGTCTGACACAATCACTATAATGAAGGCAATAATAAGCCAGGTGTGGTGGTGTGTGCCTACAATCCCAGCGCCTGGGAGGCCGAGGCAGGAGGGCTTGAGGCCAACCTGGACTACATAGAAATAACTCAGTCTCAAAAACCCAAACAGACAGGATTCATTCCAGCAAAGCACAGAATTCCCCCTGGTGGCTTGTGCAGGTTCTAGTCAGGAAAGACGTTGACACCACTGCTGAGAAATGTACTGTGACTTAATGTCAGCATGCTGGGTGTCCCTTCTGCCCTCAGTGGTGGCTGGAAACCTGGGAGAGTTACGGTCTCTGTCACTAAAGTGCTGTGTCCTCCCCCGCCCTGCTCTGTCCTCCCCTGCCCTCCTCTGCCCTCCCTTGTCCTCCCCTGCCCTCCCCTGTCCTCCCCTGTCCTCCCCCGTCCTGCTCTGCCCTCCTCTGCCC